ACTCTCACACACACACACACACTCACTCACACACACACACACACGTACGCACACACACACACACACACACACACACACACGCACCTTGAAGTCCAGGTATCGGTGGATGATGCTGAGCGTGACGTGATCTTCGGCGCTCAAACCCGACAGACGCTCAAATCCTGCAGATCATCATTGAGAACCGCAGATGTTACTTTAAAACACACCTTTCATTCCAAGCTTTGATTTAAACTACAAAATGTCTTTGAAAACAACCTGTAATCTGCACTAAACTACAGGCTCATTATCTTTTCAAATCTATGAGCAGATCAGATCATATCCTTGATTTTTCTTGCACTCAGAGAAGCATTAACTACATACAAGTAAAACAAACAAACAAACAAACAAACACTGTCATTTATATAACTAAAACTGAAGCATTCAACAACATCCAAAAACTTTTTAATGTTATTGTTGTATGCAACTTTTGCACCTCACTTCATTTACGGTTTAAACTTGGTGTCAATCGCTTGTTTTTGACTGTAAAGCATTTTGAACTGCATTGATTCGTTAGGAAAAGGGCTTTATAAATAAAATATAGCTGATTGATTGATTCAACACACACACTGTTCTCTCTCGTACCCAGTTTGCAGAAGATGCAGTAGATGTTTGCACGCAGGTTTTCTGATACGTCTCTGACAGCAGCACTGACGTCATGTGATGATGATGATGATGAAGATTCATCCTGATGCCGAGAGACAATCGGCCGCTTCACGTCTATTAGAGAGAGAGAGAGAGAGAGAGAGAGAGAGTCTTAACAGAGCATCTGGTCACTTTACTGTAGAGAGAAACAAACAGGTTATGCTTGATGCAGGAGGAGACGCTCTTCGAGTCGATCACGTTCACTGACAGCTCCATTAAGAAGCTCCATGTTGATTTCATGTTCACTTTAATCACAGAGCACTTTAATCTCTGAGCCCCCTAACCCTGAGATTTTAAGTTAATGTGTTTAATGGTCACATGACATGCAGTGAAACAAATGAAATATTTCATCGTTTTTCAGTAAGCGTTTTAGTTTGACAGCTGCTTGACTGTGATAGCTCTGTTTTATGGCGTCTGCACCTGTGATCATGCCGTGTGGGTCTCGTGAGACGCCCGTCTGCTCCTCCTCTCTCCTCCAGATGTGCAGCAGCAGCTGCGGCGCGCTGGCGTCTCTCTCTCCGCTCCAGCGCAGCAGGTGTGTGACGGCCTGGGGACTCTCACACAGCTCCAGCAGCACGGACACGAGCGGCGTCAGCATGTGTCTGGGGCTCCGCTGCGG